GGAATTTACATGTACCTTATTTTACCTGTAGTTCATTTTGGGCGGAATTTACCATTTTCGGGCGGAATTTACATGCGCCCAAATAAATATATAAAGAAAATAAAGAAAAATATTAAATGAATAATGAATAATTATTTWTATTAATAAAATAAATATGATATTTTCGTCAAAAATTAATGGTTTATCATTATATTATATTCGAATTCAACATATTATTGATTAACGCTACATACTCGATGACGAGGTACAGTCGAAAACCTACTACACAGCCGTGTGTTTAAAAAATATATATTACTATTTGTAATTATACTTAAAATTTAAATACGAGAATTTCAAAAGCCTATAGATTTGAAAATATATCATTTATAGAAAATGCTTATTTACATTTTTGATGTCAAAATCTTTACAGACGATTGTTAAAAACTACACAAACATCGTTGTAAAATCAATACAATCCTCGCATCGCCCATAATCCGAAAAACAATTGAAAAATCTTTAATTTATTCTGCAAATAACACAAAATTGTGTACTTCAGTCTTCAAAAACGAGATGTTCAACATTATATCGACATTAATTTGATATTAAAATGGAAAAAAAACAAGTGAAACAATAAATACACATATATAGTTATCAATAAAAAAAAATTACATTTTAATTTTGCTATACATTTACCAACAGACATAAAATAGACAAATAAACTTAATATCTATTGTTATACATACTATATTATATAGTATGTATTTATGTTTTTTAAATTACAATCATATTGATTTATGTTCATCAAATACATCAAATCAGTTCTTTTCCACTTCACTRCATTAGGTAAAATAAAAAWATATATATAATATAATAATAATATATGTATACATATATATCGTATATAAATAATATGGATTTAAATAACATGYATATTGTATTCAATCGTGATATTTGCATTTTGCAGTTACGATWAAATGAAAACAAATCAAATCCRAAATGACTATAATAATCATCTGTGTCTACAATATATTTGTTCTAAGTATAAAACTACTTAAATGCCGTGTAAATCAAAAAGGAATCTAACGAAAAAATAATGTMATTTTTTTGTAATCCTTTTGCGAAGAAATCGAAAAAACGTTCTTGGGAGATCGCTTTTGGCTTACAAGACTATAAATACACTTATGTGGTTATTGTCTGTCCTTGGCATTGTTGTCTGACTCATCAACGAGGCTCTCCAGGTCCACATAGCTACCCTCAAACTCTGGATTTTCCAGGAGTGCACCCAGCTCTTGTTTCAGCTCGGYGAATGTGGGTCGCTTGGACGGATCGGCTGCCCAACACTTGGTGATCACCCTGAACAATTCGGATCGACAGTGTGCAGGTTTGTCGAGTCTGTAGCCTTCCCGCACGCGTCTCATTACTTCTCTGGCACCCATGGTACAGTAAGGGGTTGAACCTAAAGCGTGCAAGAAATGTTAAAATATGTAAATGTTATACCGATAAAATTGTGATCACTGTGAATTAGTGGCTGTGGATATGACAATAGGTATACATAATATGATTAAAATAAAAGTTTATGTCACAGACGCATCATCCCTAAGAGGATGGTAACCTCGAAAGGGTATAAAGGGATGTTTTTGAATAAAACGCGACAGTGCCGTAACTAGCTTTATGTGCGCCCTTGGCAACCAATGTTATAAATTAATAATGAATTTTTAGTRTTTATATGAAATAAAAATTGCGCCCCTAGCGCGATCATTTTAAACTGCGCCCTTGGCCACCACCCACCTTGCCAATGCCTAGTTACAGCACTGAAACGCAAAAAAATATATCATATATTATGTAACTACATATTATATGAGCAAGCATTATTTTTCTATTATGTTTTTTTAATGAAAATAATAAGGCAGACACTTTAGATTCAGAATCGATCTCTTGTCCGTAAGTGGTAACGAACGATTTTACGAATATAACTCAAGACTTGAAATTAATTTAGAACTATTTAACCATAGCCCATAGGTATAGTTACAATGTTACATACATTATATATTTAATAAATCTATTTTATTATTTTATTCAAACTTATTATAAAAACCATTTTACCAAAAATTGTTTTATTATATTATTTTTGATTGATTTGTACTAAGAATTAAAATTTAATCATACTCCCGCAAAATCCATTTTCTAAATTGATTTTAGAAAAAGATATATCTGCTAACATAAGACGTATTGTATATTTCTATAAACCGATCTATATCTTACAAAAAATCACTAAGTAAAATCAATGAATCTAGATACATAAAATTGAATATTTCTTTGTTTTTGCGCTTTAGACTCAATAAAACCACTAGACCTTTTATTAAATAAAAGTTATATCGATAGATTTCTTGAGAATCTGAGTTGGGGGGAGGGGTGTTTATACTTTATTTTTAAACCCATTTAGGTTGCAATAGGGTGGCTCACATATGACTAGTTTTTACTCACAGAACTTGAATTTTTTATTTCATAAACTCAAATAACAATCAACCAGTATCAGAAATTGCATTTTAATATTAATAACATCGTTTCAAACATTAATGGTATCATYGACAATTAATATTGAAACTAATTTTAATTTATAGAAAACATTTTTCTTAGGTTTTTCAATTTTCACAAATTAGTTAAAATATTATTGCCCACCTAGAGTGACGATCTCCCACATCAGTACACCGAAGCTCCACACATCAGTCTTGTATGTGAATATACTATAGTGCAATGACTCTGGTGCCATCCAACGGATAGGCAAGGCACCCTGTAAATGAAAATATTTATTTAAAAAACGGTTTTATACAAAAAAAAATTCCTAGTAGATGCTGTGGTCGTACCTTGGTATGCCTTTGCTCGTAAATTTGGTTAGTGTCTCGGACATTGCGGGACATACCGAAATCAGCTATTTTGCATAATTTATTGTGGTCAACCAATATGTTTCTTGCGGCCAAGTCTCTGTGCACAATCTATTAGAACAACATGATCAATTAATAATAGTATTTAATATGAGTAAACACAGAAAAAATTTGTAGAAAAACTGAATTTWRTTAATTTTATTTACATTTTATTAAGCACACCAAAAGKTGAGATAATTAATTTTAAAAAAGCTTCAAAACTTTTCATTAAATTAGTTTCGAACATTTTTAATRGTTTTAACTTTAGTATCATATAACAACTTATTATAATATGKTATAGTCTTATGAAGGAAGTGTAAAATATACATAACGCAATACGCATATACTCTTAAGAGGACGTGATACCCCATGTGTTGTCTATACGTCTAACAAGTGGTGACATAACAAATGTTACGCACAGAAGAACACGTGTACCTAGCTCTGTAGGTTTAAAATTTAGAATGAATCAACCTCTAATAAAATTTAAAGGTAAGATTATTATCTAGACAACCTTATATGCTTTTTATCATATTTTAATTTTAAATCGAATTATGAGTATTTTATTATGTAAAAACTGTTTAMAATTTAAAAATCTCATAACTCGCTTTAAAATTAAAATATGATTACAAGCATATGAGGTTGTCTAGATAATAATTTTACCCTTAAATTTTATTAAAGGTCAATTCACTCTAAATTTTAAATCAACAGAGCTACACGTGTTCTTCTGAGCGTAACATTTGTTATGTCACGCACTTGTTAGACGGAGTATCACGTACCTACTCTTATGTATACACAAAATTTATCAGATTTTACACTGATTAAAAAAAATGCTTATTAGTAAGTGAAATGTTTTGATTTTTATGTAAATAAAAAACACAGTCCGTACTTTTTTCGAGACCAGAAAATCCATTCCTCGTGCTACGCAATAGGCAAACATAGTTAAATCTCTAGACGTGAGCGAAGCAGTCGAGTCGCTAAAATTAAAATAATGCGATCGTGTCCGTCGATCTCTAAGGAACGCCAATAGTTTGCCATACATAACGTACTCCATGATCAGTAAATACGGTTCTGCAACAAACACGAAACAATAATGGTATAATTTTATGATTTTTCCTACAACCTAAAGTAAAGAAAAAAAAAACAAGTTYATAAGATAATATCCTATGCATTATACCTTTCTCCGTACAGCATCCCAGCAACGTGACTACGTTTGGATGTGACCCGAGATGTTGCATAATACTCAACTCTCTGATCAAATCTTCCCTCTCCCGGGACGCTGCGTCCTCCTTAACCATTTTCACCGCGACTAGCCTGGTTAGTCCCTCGTGTCCGCTAATGTCATCCGCTTCTGCCTTCCACACTTGGCCAAAATTGCCTTGACCGAGTATGGTCTGAAGCCGCAGCTTTTCCCGGGGGAACTCCCAACGACTGTTGCTCATCGGCACCGGCATAGCGGGCGTCTTCTCGGCGTCCCACACGATGTGCTGCGGTACCCTGGGAAGTTTCGTGGTGATCGGTGAAGACGTGATCGTGTTGAAGTCCAGTGGGCTGCGGTTGTACTCGGAAGAATATTCCGAACTGTCAAACACCTTCTTCTTTTTTCGTCGCATGGCCAGCTTGAACGCGAAAACAATTACCAACACCAACGGAACGATGGCCAAAAACGTTAAAAAGTACACGGAAGTGGTTAGCCCGTCTGGATAAACTACACCCACATCGTGTTCAGCTGATGGCCTTGTGACGTTTCCACGCTGCAGTAGCGGCCTCCTTTGACGGGCTTCGACGGCTGCATCRGCTGTGGTTGTGGTGTGGAGGGTGGAGGCAACCGTGGTGGTGGCATCATTGGGGATATCGTCGGCAGGCGCTTCTGACGTACCGTTGTTCAAGTAAATGAAATCTTGCAAGTCGGTGGGTGGCGGCTGAGAGGTGTCGGTGGAAGACCGGTCGCCTGTTGTGGACGTGTCCAGCGTTTCAGTGGTACCATCTACTGGATGGTCCGGGGATGACGGACTGGAAGCCAACGCAAATATGGGGGTGGCTGTAGTTGAGGCGGTGGTTGTGGATATGGTGGTGGTAGTTGTAGTGATGAAGGCAATGGTGGAAGCTATGGTCGCGGTTCCAGCGACGGCCGTGCCGTTCAACCGTCTTTGATTGACTTTGGTAATTTCCAAGTATTCGGGCAGCGATATGTTTCGGTATCGGTTTCGAATGAATTTCGGGTACGCCGACACCGTGGAGTCCGGACTCGCAGTAGACGTAGGTGAAACGTGATTGTACACGCCTGTCGCGTCGTCACCATCATTGGCGGCGTCTGCTGGACGGTGATTGTCGATAGAATGACGACTGAGATCGGCAGTAGAATCATTTCTCTTCTGAGGGCTTCCCCTGACTGACACAGACGTGACGACGGTTGACAGTATCCTCGTGGTCCTACCATCCGATTCTGGCAAGCACCGTACGTCCCTCCGAGCCCGCGATTTGTTGTTCCGCCTGCTGAACCTCGGATACAAGCATTCTACAGGCGCCGAGTTCTCTGTAGGCCGCCTAGTCGCTGCCACGGCACTGTGGGTACGGTTATGTGGTGGTGGTCCGGGCACTCTGGCTCGGGGAATGGCGTCTTGCATCACTTGCTGGACGACTACTGGCAACCTGACTGACGTCCTGGTTTCCGAGTCCGACGGTGCGTTGAGTCCTTCTACCGTGGTATGCGTGGACGGCGACTGCGACTGTACCGGGTGTCTGATCTTCTTGCCAAAATCGTAGTATGATTCTTCTTGCGGTGAAGACACGACGGCCGTCCGAAGTGCTCTGGCCGTGCTAGATGATGGAACTAACAACCGCCTACGGGTTTTGATCCGGTCTGGTCTCTTGGAAGTGGCATTCCGCACTTCGGATCCTTGAGCCTCGGGTTCGTCCCACGTCCGTTTGTGTTTGATCTTCTTCTTGACCCGGGGCATTGACGACTCGTTGACATCCGTCAGTGTGTCCAAAGGAACCGGTCCGGATTCTCCCCGATGATGTGGTGGCGTCGGCATTCTCCTGAGAGTGCCGACCACCGATCTGGTGGTTGCATTGCGCTGCCGGCGATGGTCTGCCGCAGGTCGCTCGTCGTCAGCCGGAATACTGGTAGGAATCACCAACATCAAATCATCTAAAAAACAAATAGATTATTGTTAGAAAAGTTTTATACCAGGGACTCACGAGWATAAAATATTGTATTGTAATTATTAATTTATTCGTCTTTAGATTTCTGATTAATTAAATTTTATAAATTAGATAAAATGATGGGTATTTGTCATAGTAGCTGATTATTATAATATGCCMATTCGTWAATTCATACACCCAACAAATAAATTTAATGAAAACTATTGCAGTGTTTTCGGAAATATTAAGCGTCTTAATATAATATAATTATAATACATTAAAACGCAGTTTCAAAGCTTATGTCCAAATTCTAAAACATTTTAAATAAATTACTAGTTGACCGATAATATACTATAATGTGCACAATATGTGTGTATTTTTCAAATGTCTTATGATTATAATCACCATTTAAATGTAAAAATAATATCGAATGCGTGAGAAAAATATTTAAATGGATTGTAAATTGATAGATTTTTATAGAATATAGCTAGGTAGTTGCATACAGGTGGCGGTTGCACCGTGTTTTGTGTGGTCCTCAACAATTTTCATCGTCTTCGACGTTGTCGTTTCATTCAACTAACAATGTTATACTTTTGTTTCTAATATTTCCGTTCATATAAATATATATAAATATAAATATAAAACACACAAACTGAGGGACTATAAAATTTGGTACAACTGCCGTGTACTAGGCCCTATTCAAATGTCCCTGTCCCATCATCTATCCGTGACTCAGTGGCCTCAGTGGACGTAATTACTAACAGATAAAACAGCAATTAACTGAGGAACTTCAACAATTTGAACAATTTAAATGAACATTAGCTAAGCGAATKCCTGACGTATGGGTCAAATAAAACCGTATTAGTTGGTCAATTGTATGATAGTATGATACCATGTCTGGTGACGCCCGACGTGAGTCGAGATTGGGTACGACCGGTTTATGCCTCATATAACACTTTCTCCCACGATCTGTTTTTTTTTGTATTATTATTATTATTATTAATACACTATTATTATGCATACGGATATAGAAAGTATACAAAACTTTACACCCATCAGTTATTTAAAAAAAAAAAAAATTGTAGGACCGGTTGTAATCTTCTTTTCAGGTCAAAATAGTGAACACAAGAGCAAAAAAAAAATAACCGGAATTTTACGACGATGAAACTTTATACGTATATGTATAATACTATAATATATAATATTATACAGTAACGCCATGAAGACGCCAAATGCTATCAATAATTAGATATTTTAACGACTAAGTCTTGGTATGTGCGAAGTGCGAATACATATTTTCAATTGTAATGACTTCCTTATTATTATTTTTTTAATTGGCAGTCCTGTGTGTTGCGAGTACACCAAATGACAAATATCATCAGCAGTATAACGTGTACAATCATTATCAGTTTCATGATTTCGCGCGTCGTGTTCCACGTCGTATTGAAGTTATTGAACTATATACTCGTATATTATATATTATTGAAAATGGATAAACATTGCGACAAAAAGCAATTGTCGTCTAGATTCCGATGTCAATGGTTTCGCACAATTGTTTCTATTGCACGTCTAAATGCACTCAAGTCCGCGATTACATAATTTCAAATTGTATTTATTTTTTTATATAATCAACAGATTACCGGATATCGATAATAGTTCACGAGTTGGGTGCACACGAGTGACAATAGGTTTAACTTCATTTCATCAGTTTTTTTCCTWTCTACAAAAATTAGACAAAATAGACACGCATATAATGATTTGTACATTTATACCTATACTAGGAGGTACCTATTTATAGAGAATGACATGCGAAAAAAACGTTACACAAAGTTGCAAATTGTTCATCATGTATGCTATAATTTTAAAACACATTAATTTTTGTACAATACATTAAAATAYATTCAAAAATTGTGCAACAATGATTTTTCTTTTTTTTTTGTTATATTAAATGATATGTGTAAATATATCAACTCTAAATGGGGATGCTGGAAGCTATACAAATTCAAAACAGAAATAAAATACTTAGAAAGTATGTTTTTGGTAGTAATGAACACTATTATAGTAATTGCCTATATAGTATATATTATATTAAATATTATTTATAGGAAGATAAAACCATAAAGGCACCTAGGTATACACAATTTATGAACTTACAAAATAGTCGTAAGAGTTCTAGTAAGGCAAAAACAAGACGTCAATATAGCATCTATTACTTTTTACAYAAGAAACGTAACACTAATTTAAGTAGTGTATTTTTATACATCAATACATTGAACTTAGCCCATAGAAATTGTGTTGAATAACATTTCATATGAGTTTTTATATCATTCATAAAAACTTAAAAACTATTTTTTTTTAAAGTCCGTTTACCAAATCCTATGAAATTCAGTTTGAATGTTGTACAGCTTTTAAATATTACATCATATAAGAGTGTGTAAAGTGTGTTATATTAATACGTTTTTCAATAATAATTGGTAATAACTAATAAGATTTGATTTAAAATCGTATAACATACTACTGAAATCAGCCTATCAACTAAACTAAATAATAAATTCAACATTATATGTTTAATTGATTWTGAAGTGTATGACTAAACATAAATTAGTTTATACTTTCAAAATTGCAGCTTGCCTTATTTACTTTGGTTATTTTATTGTTTAATATGACATTTTGGTAAGTATAGATTGATCGATTTGAAACGCTCTAGATTAATGTCCTTGAGTACACCATATCAAAAAAATGTATAGCACTATAATATACCTATGAGTATGGCATATAAAAAATAAAATGATTTATCAATGTATTAATTTACATAAAAATATATATTTGGTGATGAAAAAAGAAGTTTATAAGTCGTGACTACCAATACAATTAATATTAATAAATCTCATTAAACTAAGTTGGTTGTAGGTAACAAAAAATCAGCACATCATTGTATTTGCTCGTGCTACTTGGAATTTATATAAAGCTATAAATACGAACAGGTTAAAAAAATTGGCCGTTGGGCACTCGTCTCGCTTCGCTCAACTCGGTKAAGGTCAAAATTTTCTTATTTTGAATATTAGAGCTACTAAATTTAATTACATTACTTCCATATAAAATTATTTCAAATAGATCTTGATTAATTTTAAAGTGTTTAAAATTTAATTTTAAATAAGGTTGCTTACATTTATATTTACAAAGAATATCGAATATGACACAATATTACATAAATAACTGCTATCTGCTATTTAAATTTTAAATTTCCAAACTATTAAGAATAGGAATTCAAAATTTTTGATAACATTAACATCAAAAAAAGATATTGCAGCAGAAGAAACCCGTCAAAACGATATTTCTGAATCATTCAGCAGCCAATTTAGAATAAAAAATAAAAATCAATTGAATATATTTATAGYCTTATAACATACAAGTTATAGGTACTGTGGAGTTTGGATACTATACATAACAGTAATATGATAATTATTCTGAAACATTTTGTATTTTTTACGTATCCTAATTTCTCATGAATCATAATTCATAATTGATGTAATTTTAATGATCATTTTATGGAATGCATCGTTTAAAACCAAATATATTTTGTTTGGTGTGATAAAAATATACCATTTACCTATACAGTAACTACAACGCATTTTTTAGTTGTCACACGTGACTGTCATTTGTTGACGATTTTGCAATTAATTTTCTCCTATCGGTTCTAACGATACTAATCGCCATTGAATAATAATTCGTCAGGTGAATTTAAGTYACTGTATTGTATAGGCTCCGTTRACAATCAATTTGTCCGATCGATACGACTGTTGGGCTAAGTATACATAGATATAACATGATATTATTATATACGTAGTCTATTATGGAGCCACGTTGACCTTGTTTTACGAATAAATTTAATTCGATCTATCGATCGAAAAACCACCGCATTATAGACGTTGACGACTCGATAATTCTATTAAAATTTCTCAATCACGAGATTATTGATCCAATTTTTTGTTCTCCTTTTTGTTATTCCTATAACTATAGGGTATATACGTACACACGCAAACTGGCAGTTGGTGGTACCGTTCTAGAAATTATCGTGTCGCTTTTAACGTTAATATTTTCTGTCTACCTATATTTAAAAAGTATAATATACAGGTATTATAATATTTATTAACTCATAACTAATAACTGTAATAATAAACGCATTCCATTGCCAATATTATTTACCATAAGGCATAAATATATTATACTATAAACGAATGAGAGGTTATTGCGGAYATTACCGCTATACTCGTAGTTCAATATAATCGCCGTTTTGGTTCAATCATAGTCTTTTGTATAGTTATTACATTAAATGATCTACCTTTATAATAATATTAATAATGATAAAAAAAATAATATGTTCCAACTAACAGCGCACTCATCTGAATTAATGTATTATGTCTGTGAGCGGAATCAAATAATCATTTTTTTTTTTTTTATTATTAAAGCCGCGACAACTAAGGTTATTGGCATATTGTACAATGTAAACATTAAATTAGGTGCTAGATAACATTAAGAATATTAAGTACAATGTAGATTATTTATAAAGGTATAACGTTAAAATATAGAAGTACAGCATTGGAAGTGAGAGAAAGATGAAAAGAAAAAAAAAATACAAGTACCAAATAATTATTGTCGGCACTTGCAGAAAGTAGAACGCTATATTATTATAATGTCATATATATATATACGTGCTTATATAGTTTTGTAGGTACATATCCATAACACTGACTAAAAGTCAAGTATAAGTCACTTTCCAAGCATACGGGTGATATTCTAAACMCAAAAATAGTTAAATTAAATTTTTTTTTTATAAATATGTCCTGTTTTCAGTAAATGTATACAAACGAATAAAGGAACATTTTAACATGATTTATTATAATTTATAGTGTTTATTCACAACCATATTTTATATTCGTGTAAATGTAAAATAATATAATACATACCTAAACAATGTAACATGGTCGGAATTTGGTATAAGACGTA